TATGGATTCTTCATGCCAAGACATGCACAACAATACCAAGCAACGATTATATTCAATTTGAATAATGTCCATCGGTACATTTTTAATTATCTACCAGAAAAACAAATGTTATTCCAGTTACATTACCCTAGTTTATGTTATTATCTCGTAATTTAATTTTGAAGATGAAACCACTGGTTGGTCCAGACAATGTTCATTTGTGCGAATATTAAAGAATAACAAGGAAGGCATATTCACGTTATTAATCAAACTAGACAGCCCCAACAATCTATATGACAAATATGATTACACGAAACATGTTTCCTATGCAGGGGGAGAAATGTAATGCAGCGATGGCAAAATTGACCCAGAGAGGTCATTAATTTAGTGCTAGAGTCATCCAGGGAGACATGTAATGGTATATATCCTGCCTGAAGACTTGCGAGATATGAGAGATATATCATGTCAGTGGGTGCCAGTAAAGATCTTTTGATGCTGCATTTCCTGAGTACGCGATATTTCATACCGTTTTCCGACCCTGGTGGTACGATCATTTCGGCATGCCTCATGTATCATCGGCGGATATTACTCGCTATCTCGGAATACCAGGGAGTTTTGGAGACTCTGTGGGAGTATTGATATATTTGTACAAGCCCTGGGGAAAATATTTTGGTACAAGGTGGGTGCTCAACATGATGTGCGAGGGAACAACCACCCTCCTGTGTTTACACAGCCACATGGTGGGATGGAACTTGGGACACAGCCGGTTATAAAGGAGTACTTTAAATTCTACAGGAATCACAACAACTACGGGCTGGTCATACAAGAAAATCTGAGAGCTGGCGTTAAGAAATTTTGATCAGAAATATACGAGAGGTACATTCCGACAGTGCTTTGATCATTCTTCCAAGAAGGACCAGGTTAACTGGATCAGTATCACAACAGATATCAAAATACTCAAACCCTGCTTGAATGACAAAACAAGAAATAAGACACTGTATGCGTATGGCTGGGTGTGAATTGAGATCATCTCTGGTTAGGGACTGATTGATTTCAGTTCATTTTGTACTCTTGCATGAAGGCAATGGAGTATAGACAGAGTAGACTTCAGATTCTTGTTGTCGATTCGGGTTGCTCTTTTCATGAGTAACAAGAGGCATTGTGTGCTCTAGTTGGCTGGGGATACAGCGTTCTTGACACTATAGACTCTGAGTCATACCATCGTCCACTGGAACAATACCTCCGTAAACACGTAGGTAGCAAGTCGCACACACCTGGGTTTTTAAAGCATTGAGGCAGTTTGTTCTTCGTGGACTGAAGTTTACAAACGTAATGAAAGAAATGGGGCCAGCTTCATTGAAGGTGTTTCTTGCTGACTACAAGGGCTGAACTACATCAAATAAAAAGCCTAGGAAAATATCCGTGGGAATAAACTATACAGGACTTAATTTGTCTCCCATCGCTGCTCTGCCCTAAATAAGGCTAAACTAGCCCCTCCCTCCAGCGATAACCAACTGCTCGTATACTAGCAATCCTAGCCTGGGGACACTGTCCTTTTCTTAGTGTCCTCTCAATTAAGGTCGCGATTTATCTATCCAAACAGATCTTAGTAAAGCTCCGCTGCGACAGGCTTCTAGCATTCCGCTAGCTTTTACAACAATGGCTCCCGACTTTCCCTGATCTCAGAAGAGACAACAATCGGCTCATTCTGGTGGAGAGAAGCCCTCCACGCCAACACAAGGGCCGGTTGTTATGAGAGGGAATGCCGCTCAAAATTGCCTGAAGTTACATTACTCGTGCATGGCTTGAGTCCAACCCAAGTTCCCAGCCAGCAACCGCAGTGTGTGATGCAAGGGTAAACCTCTAGACAAATCCAGCCAATAAACTTTGGTCAAGTGTCACGTGCAGGCGCAAAAAGCATAACATCTATCACCATTTACAATCTTCTGGCACAGATACAATATACTGTCTTTGAATCTGACACTACCATTGCATTGCGAATATGCATAACGATGAGTCTGGCCATTGTCAGGTACACAGACAAGTTTGGGAGAGAAGATATTTTAGCAATTCCAAGAAACAGGGTCCCTTCTGTTACATAAATCATTTGTAAAGCACTAACACAGGTATATTTTATTGTTTCCTTACCATAGCCTGTGGATATACATTATTCATGGCATTTGTATCTTCCATTGAGGTATATAGAATTAGGAAATCAATCTGTAATCTAGTCAGCAACCCTTACTGCCCCCCTCCCCCCTCCACAGTTGTAAATCTTGATTCAAGACTTGGGTAACCTTCAAGAGCTACTGCATTAAGCCTTGACTATTCTTCAGGCCGTGACAATCTATTAGTTATGGCAACTATAAATCCAGAGACGTTTTTATCTGCAAAACAACATCGCACCAAAATAGCCAGAAGGATATTGACCCAGACTGTTCTTTGACTTCAAACCGAAGTGTAGATAAACAATTTTTTTGCTGGTGGTGTATCGTGTGGTGTATAAGGACAGGTTATGCACCGGTGGGGTAAAACACACAACACAAACCCTAAACACTGGCGCCAAACTCAGCTGTGATGCCTGTTTGCCTATAGAAATGTTCCCAATGCCAGGCAACATTCTGATAGACACACCGGACTGCCACACCACGTACTCACAAGTCACCGATACATACTCAACTTCAACATAATATTTGTGCACATTTACATCATCCGTGGTTATACTGGCGCCCATATCATTCCTGTTAGATATAATAGGATATTAGAACATAGATTATTATATGTCAAAAAAGACAACAATGTTAGAAGGACCGATTCTAACATTCAAACCAAATACTTGTTCTGCTAGCATGGCAGGGTGACAAGCTGTTTTGCTCTACATGGTAATTACCTTTAATGCATCATAATCTCCAAATATACTCTTGTACAAGGCTTTGATTCATCGCTGCCATGTCACAATAAGGAGGAGCTTACCTGAAGAGGTCTGTCATTGTTAGCTAGGACCATATAATTTGGTACAACACTGTCATTGTGCAATTTCACGAGATGATAATTGTTTCCTTCCTGCTCTAGCAGACTACTGCAGGTAAGGGATGATACCTGTCTGGACAATTCACACTGATCTCTGCACAAAAAACATCTTCCCTCCATTCTTTGCAACGACCCAACTCACAGCAGGTTTTGTAATTTGTCAAATCATTTGCTAGATAACTTGAGCAACTTGACATTTCACATTGTACGTCCAAAAGAATCGCCTAATCGTGACCTTTCCCTGGAAATGTGTCAAGAAAATAATGCTTCATCTGCTGAAAAGGCAAAACGGTTGCACCTGGGCTTCAATTTTTTTTGCCAGTCTGACAAAAAAATCAATTAACATATGGTTTTAATAGAGTTAAAAATAATACAGCAGATCAAGGCATAATCTTTGGTTAAAATACCTACTAAGTTCAGATGTGACCACTACAGCTCTGGATGATTTTGCAAGATTGAGATGGTTAGCATACTGCGGACATGATCATGGCATTCTGTACCAAACGTAAACAACTCCCCTCTTCCTGTTCCTTTGGTTACCATGGCAACTATCAACAATAGACTGAGGTCAACATTTTGGTATGGCAGATATGTGTGGTGAATTATGGGGTGGAAGATTGGTTTAAAGTTTAAAGTTCCCCCAAACTTGACACATGCCCCCCTCCCACCTCTCAAGTGTTCCAACCTACACATTTTTCATCAAGTTGCCACACTTCACACCAATGCTCAAATTGATGTTTTTTTGTAACACGAAACTACTTTTCTCCGGGCATTCACACAAAGGGGCTAGCAAATTGTGAGGGATTGGATGCTATCTTATGACACACATTACAGATCAAGTTCATTTTCCTAGCCTTACCTTGCAGCATCACATGGAGAAATTTTCAACAATTTCAAACTCAGACAAATTATATTTTGACTTCCTCTGCCCAGGGGGTTGGTTGATTTGGACCGGTGTCTATGCCGTGGTCAAACAACTATGATTGCCCTCTAAATCCTGTCAACAACATCACAATCGTAAGTAATGTGTTTGTGTATGTTCTTTCCTTGTTTTCCCTGGTGCGTTATTGACTGTCGCCAAGCAAACTTATGCGGCTCCTTAGCTCACATTTCCTTAGTACAACCTTAAGTGTCATGTTGTCCGTGTTGAAAGCTACAGCGTGTGTTACTGAAAGCGACACTAGACAGCGTGTGTTATTGAAAGCGACACTAGCCCGTGCCCGGCACGAACCCGATAGCTGCAGCCCTGTTCGTAATTTGTCCGGCCAGACTTGGGAACGTCTAGAAGGCAGGGATCTCCCCAGGGAGGGGGCCGGGGCGAGGCTCGTGTCCCGCTCGGTGGCAGAGACGCTGCGAGCCGCCGGTTAGGTTAGGATACCACAGGACCCGGGTCTCTACGGGAAACATATCTCTCCCTTCCACTGACACAAACAAGGCCATATCGGCACACCAGTAAGAAAATCTGTAAGGTCGTTACGTATGATTCTGATTATTGTTCCAACTTGTCTGAAGTTGGGAAAGTTTTTCCCCGATGTTCGAGCACCCGAATGAACCGTTATCATAACGTTACCAGGTGTCACTCCACAACAGGACGCACACGCGCGGATTTCCTTCTTTGGCCCGGGCTGTCCCTTGTCTGAGATTGTCGCAAACCTAGCTACAAGTCTCCTCGTTATTTCTGACTGTCTGACCGAGCCGGGGACATGACACATGGTCGACCTTAGGCCCGCCGTAGACATCTTGCCTAGTGGTGGCTTGTAGCAACATATTTTGTGTTGCAAACTTTCTCGATCGCCGGGGTTCCTTGGCACACGTCCACTTCTCTAACTCTGTCAGCTAGCCTCCCGGCCTGCAAAACCTGGCTAGTCCCTCTGACAAGATCTAGAAACTACTCCGCAGCATTTTCGGAGCAGACAGTGATTTATTTTTGACGGGGAAAGTACATTTGCCCGTCGTGATAACCAAGACTTTTCCATCGCCCTCCCCCTTACCTTGCAACATCGCTTCAAGCTTACGGCGGTCGACTCGGAATCGTTCCTCCACCCAGTCTGGCGGCCTCTCTATCGTTTCCTCGGGCTCGATCGACTCGGTGGGGGAGTCGTTGGGATCCATCGGGCTGTTGTGGTCGCGCATGTCGGCGTGTGTGGGCCCTAGACCGCCTAGAAACGGTGCGCCGCTACGATTGCTTTCGGGCCCCACGGCCGCCATGGCATTTTCCCACCCGGCCTGTTCACGCACGTCAACAATGTGGAGACATCCGCTGCGGGATCATTTACATACCATTGACAAGCCAAAAACTCGTGCAAGGAACCATCTATTCTACCAAATACACGTCTTTATTCACGCCTATATTAATATGGTCCATGTAAATGAACAACTGTGGAATATTATTCATTTTCAAGCTAAGTAAGGACTTTAATGGACTACTTTGTGACCTTTCCTGAGTACAACAGCTGACGGATGTGACTTTACTATATCAATGCGCTAAATTGCAAAGTTCACTTTTTTGAATGAGAGGCATTGCGCTGATGAATTGTTGCCGCATGTAGCGTTTGAAATTTCAGAAAGCATTGATTTCTAAACATTGATATCTGAATTTTTCCGTCAGTCATCAAGTCAAAGGCATATATCAATGGATGCGCCAAATCCCAATGTTCACTTGCAGAAATGCAGTGGATGGACCGTCGCGTTTAGCATTTGAATTTTGATGAGATTTTACTTTTTTTTAAAGAAAACATTGATTTCTGAATCTTTCCATCAGACATCACGTCAGGGGCATTGAAATTGATGGAATTTTGTGCTTTTTGGCACTGTTATATCAATATTGGTTTTAATGACTAAATTTGGCCATTGAAACAAATGACTTTAACTGTTTTTAAAAGTGGAAGTTTAAAAGTTGCCTTTAATCATTTTCATGTATACGTGCACACGTCATTGCGTCATCGCGAAAATAGGGTCATTGTTCTTACCATACAACCAAAACGGATAGGGCACACCTGATATCCAAAAACCGACTATTTCAATTCTAGGCTGTTCCGCAACTCTACCACCCACTTGAGCCTATTCACGCCACGATTCGGCCTGGAAAACTCTACTTTTCCGCGGAAGAATTCCCTGTTGCCATTGTGAGGACCTGTTTTGACGTCCTTTTGTACAGGGGTACTTTTCAGAGTGAACAGCGTGGACAATAGAAGCTATTTTGGCACGTCGTACGGCCCTGGTCGTGTGGTATTCCCGGTCCGACTGTGTTTTTCTTGTCCCTTTGTGTTTTGTGTTTGGACAAATCGTCATTGACCACGCCTGGGTATTCCTGCTTGTTTCTTTTAACCCACGTTACCGAAATGTCAATTCACGACTTGGCGCTTGTCGGTGGTTTTGACGGTATTCGTGCGGTGACTGATTGCACGTTGATTTTGAAAAGACGCGGTATGTCCTTTTTTTCACAACATCTTCTGGTATCTCATTTCTCATTTGACGCCATTTCGACGGTGTCAGCTGTTTACAGATAGAAATACGGCAGCAAATGTTTGCGATTTGATACGGCTATCTGTCAACAATAAACAAGCGACTACATGTATGGCTACAAAGCTGATTGCACAATAAAGTTTAAAGTTCATGCTATGAGCTCAGGTGGATTCCAATTTCAAACTTTTAAGCTTTCTTAAAAATTACTCATTAACGTTGCCTATTGGTCTGAGGGAAGTAGAGTATATCATTGTCTTATAGAATTGCTAATCAACACATACTTCAGCTCGATTGGTTGGTTTGTTTTTTGTTTGTTCTTCCTAATAAATAGTACTAGGAGTCTAGGACACGTGCTTGATAATAGGGCATGGCTTCTACGGCGGGAAAATACCGCAGGTAAGCTAGTCAGAAGTTTAGGACAGGTGCTTTCCCCTTGCGTCCATGTTCAACAAAAAACGTTATATGTCCCTGATTCAACCAATGAGGCTTGAATCTTGATTCAGCGTACTAACTTGAAGAGCGATGAAAACTTGGTGATCAGAGTGCAGTGACCTGTGTTGATCTAGTATCAGATTCACTGTGTGTTGTTTCTTGTCTTTTTTTTACTCTAAATATCCATTACAACGTTTGCGCTAATTATCATTATTCAGGTTTTCACAATTTATTGCACAGAAGAAAAAGTTTGAAACATATCATGTGTAGGTACTGGTTAGGTACTACATGCACCAGTCATTTCTGTTGACATAGCCATAGGAATAAAAGGAAATACTTTCCACCGGGAAAAAGTTATTAACAGGTGTGAAAACCACGCAATTTCAAACAAAGCTCGTATATTGTTTAATACCGGCATGTCGTCTCGTAACCCGCATGCTAACATAGCTGCTAACATACAGACCGACAGCGTGCGGATGTGAAAAGCTCTTTTTCACTATAAAGCAACGATCATCTTCTCATCACCACGTAGTGTTATAATGACGGTGATTGCTGATGATGTGAGCGACTCCTAGCGTTGAAGAAAAGAAGAGCACTGTTGTCAATTGCAAATGCTAGGTCGATTCAAGGATGAATGGTCCAATAATAGTATAGGGGTCCACACTGCCTTGCAAAAAGGTCTGATTGAAATTGAAGGAATGGCAGGGCATCCTAAGAGAAACAAGAAAGGTGTAAAAAATACACCTAGGCGACGAATTGTATATTATGTAAATTAGGGTATTATCAATTTAATTTATTTTTATTATATGTACGAATTGGAATATTCACTTCATAAGCTACATGTACATATATGTGCCTGGTTATCTACATGTCGACAATCGACCAATATCGGGTCCCCATTCTTAGCTCGGTGTTTGTTGCTATTGTTTAGATTTAATTCCAATCTTTTATAAATATTTTTAAAGGGATATCTTATGTTTTACAAACATTTCAAACTTGTTCTTAACTTCTTAAGAAATTTCCGTAAATTACAAATTTTCGAAATATTTTTGAGTCCGCGTACGATATTTCCAATGATTTCTAAAGAAAGGCAACTCGGTTCTACCATTTTTTTTAATTTTTGTAAATGACCCGTGACGAAGTAATTTGCACATCAACACGAAGCGTTCTGTGAGCCAAAAATACTAGTACGTATCGTTGATGAACCCTGCGGCGATCCTGCCGTTGGCGAGCACTCGACACGATAGCGGCCAGCTCGGTTGGGTTAAGGCGGCCTAGGCTGATATTCATGTTCGAGTTCGGGCGTGTGTCTGCACGATTGCCACATACATGTTTCGAACCCGAATCATGTTCCACCATGTTCGATATGACGTCATTCGAATAGAACGCGTGTTCGAATTCGGGGTTACCGGCGGTCATTTGTATGTTTCTCTTGTAAACCCGCGTTGTTACGCATTTTATTCTCGGAGTATGCCTTAAACGGCTTTACG